GTACCAATTCAATACATTCTTTTTTCAAAAAACCTCATATTCAATCTGGGGAAAAACAGAATATTAGTAATATTACCTATGTGTCCAGACTTTTGGGTCACCCTGTATGATCTCTGTATTATGACTGATCAATGGTTACAGGTGTGGGGACGACTCAGATCGGAGCCTAAATCAAGCAGAAACCCTTATCAGGACATGGAAATACAGGGTGCGCAAAATGTTTTTGCTGTGATATTTCTGGCTAGAACTCTGCTGTATTTCATCCCAATTCCGGGAAAATATTTTAAAATCAAACATAACAAACGTGTATGGCTGCAATATACTACAAGGCTTTTTCAAAATGTCCTCCGTCGAGTGAGATACAAGCTTTTAAACGCTTTGGAAAGTTGTCCACGATGACCGTCAGCTATTTGGTCTCAATATCATCTCAAGCCTCAAGCAAACCCTTCTTCGGCGAATCCAAGCTGCTGTGTGGTGTGGAGCAGGCCTTCTTCAAAATGGACCACACTGAGTAATCCATGAATTTTGAGCACCAGACGTCCTTCCCCCACAGATCCGGAAATAGCTCTTTGCATAGCTTCATTGTCGTCTTCCGTGTGTGGACGCTCAGTCTTGTTGTAGCATCCATTCATTTTCGTCGAAATGGTCACGAGCCCAGGGGTCCAGAACTGCTCTCAGGATGCAGTATTGATGCACGGCTACATTGATCATCACCCCTTTTTCCACAAAAACCTGAGGAGTCTTGTTCGTGGTTTAAAACCCAGCCCACACCATCGCCGACTGCGACCTGCTCACGGTTGGGGCTCCGGAGAGCAGTTCTGGATCCCTAGGCACGTGACCATTTGGCAGTGTGGATTCACTGAAGAAGGGTTTGGGATTGGGATGACATGAAAATGGAATAGTTGACAGCCATCGTGGACAACTTTCCATAGTGTTTAAAAGCCTGTATCTCACTCGACGGTGGACATTTTGAAAAATCCTTAGAATATATTGTGGCCATATATGTTTGCTTTGTTTGCTAAAATGTTGCTGAAATTGGGATGAAATACAGCAAAGTTATAACCAAAAAATTTAACAGCAAAACCATTTTGCGCACCCTTTATATGGCACCTGGGGTAGTCCCCAGCCACTACATTGTGGTAGCCAATGCCAAAAAAAACATTGAATTATAAATTGTCATTTTTGTTTAAGTTCAAAGATTGTTTGGAAAATCATTAGAACTGGATGTTCTTCCAGACTTTTATGTCGAAACTAAGTGTGAAGATTTCTTTTCATGTGCAAATAACCAAACGTTACGTATGCACACTAACCACCCTAGACTGAAATTTAATGAAGTCCTAAACTTGACTCATTTCAAGTTGAAGGGTCATGTGGATTTTAAAATTGATATGTAAGGGAAGAGTTCGTCCCCTCCCTGAACTTGATTTTTGGACATCGGAATATCCAATCGCTTACAGAATGCGGTTAGACCCAAACAGCATGTTTATTCAAACAGGATGTCTATGTTTACCATGATAGGTTTTACCATAAGGGGGGAGGTGGATAGGGCTAGAGCCAAGCGATATTTAAGTCTTTTGGAAGAGTGGAGCAAGAAATGGCTCATGAGGCTTAAGAAAAGTAAGTGTAAAGTTCACCACGTCGGTCGAAACAACGGTAGGTCTCTCGACACGTTCGGCGATGTTAAATTGGATGAGGCAAACGGAGAGAGAGATTTAGGAGTTTTTATNCGTATGTAAAATTTCTACTGGGATTGATCCTGTTTCGGACTTCCCAGGAAAGGAGATATAATGGAGATTACGCATAAGCTGAAAGAAGCATGGAGAAAATGGGATGATCTCGGATGGAAGCTGGCACGCTCAGAGAATGGTCTTGAATACATCAAAAGCAAGCGTCAAAGACCATGTGACCACAGCGCGACATGTCTGCTCGCCAGGTGGAAAACCTCTTCATCCATGGACAGCCCTTCCATAATGTGGAAGAAGATTTGCATCATTCCACCAAGACTCATGTCAAGAAGGAAAGATAGTGGGAAAAGAGATAATCTGTGAATAAACAAAAAACGGTGTTCGAGCAAGCGGAGCTCGGTTGTGTAATTGGGACATTTGCATGCCCTTTAGCTCACTGTCCTTCAAGGTGCTGTCATTGATATTTAAAGTACAAGAGGGAAATTCAGGGGAAATTGAGATATTTTGATACTCAATAAAATGAATAAGATTCTCAAAAGAACCCAGGAGATTAATTTGCAGCCATTAATGAAATGCATTCTCATAGATTTTTACTACTTGGAGGACCTATAAGACACAGTATAGCAACATCGCCTTAAGCTCTAGGAATTCAGTAGGATTTTATAGGTTTCCTATAGGATTTTTAAAGGATTTCTATAGGAAACTTATAAGACTGTTTCCTGAGGAATCTCGTCCCAAAATGACTATGGTAGCAACATCGCCTTAAGCTCTAGGAATTCAGTAGGATTTTATAGGTTTCCTATAGGATTTTTAAAGGATTTCTATAGGAAACTTATAAGACTGTTTCCTGAGGAATCTCGTCCCAAAATGACTATTGTTTGAAGACTTATTTGAAAATCAAAGGACGATGTAAACTTTAGTAGTATCGGTAAGAGAACTTAAAGAGAATTGTTACTTTATGTCCCTTGCTCCAAGTTGTACTGGGTGGTCCATCCTATAATTAATGGGACTTATATTATGTCCCACTGGGCTTTCAGACCTGTGGGGCGAAAATGTAGTAATTTTATTCAATAACATTTTCAACATGGCGCCCATCATTAGCAATGCAAAGTTCGATGTGCTTTGCGCATTCAATACGTTCCAATACGTACCAATTCAATACGTTCTTCTTTCAAAAACCTCATATTCAATCTGGGGAAAAACAGAATATTAGTAATATTACCTATGTGTCCAGACTTTTGGGTCACCCTGTATGATCTCTGTATTATGACTGATCAGTGGTTACAGGTGTGGGGACGACTCAGACCGGAGCCTAAATCAAGCAGAAACCCTTATCATGACATGGAAATACAGTGCGCAAAATGTTCTTGCCGTGATATTTCTGGCTAGAACTCTGCTGTATTTCATCCCAATTCCGGGAAAATATTTTAAAATCAAACATAACAAACGAGTATGGCTGCAATATACTACAAGGCTTTTTCAAAATGTCCTCCGTCAAGTGAGATACAAGCTTTTAAACGCTTTGGAAAGTTGTCCACGATGACCATCAGCTATTTGGTCTCAATATCATCTCAAGCCTCAAGCAAACCCTTCTTCGGCGAATCCACACTGCTGTGTGGTGTGGAGCAGGCCTTCTTCAAAATGGACCACACTGCGTAATCCATGAATTTTGAGCACCAGACGTCCTTCCCCCACAGATCCGGAAACAGCTCTTTGCATAGCTTCATTGTCGTCTTCCCTGTGTGGACGCTCAGTCTTGTTGTAGCATCCATTCATTTTCGTCGAAATGGTCACGAGCCCAGGGGTCCAGAACTGCTCTCAGGATGCAGTATTGATGCACGGCTACATTGATCATCACCCCTTTTTTAATTTCCTATCATATCGTGGGCTCAGTTCTGTGGAGTCTCTTCCTTCATAGGTCTTCTTTTCGAAACAACCCTTTAACGCCATGATTTTCCGTTGAAAAGATACGACATGGTGACATTGCACAGTCATTGCATTGCTTTAAGAATTTCATGACTAACAGGCGCTATTGCGAAAAATGGAACGCATCGCATTTTAGGCTAGAACTTGGGATGATCCACCAGACCATCACAGGGCTTCAGCACGTAAGGATCAGTGTCTCCGCATATCTTCATCTTCTCCGGATAGGGGTCTTTTGCCGTGCCTTCCAGCGTCTCAAAATAAGCGGAAAAAGCGGTATTCATGATGCAGACTTGATGAGGCTACACCCATGACATAAACCTATCAATCGAAACCCCCGCTCCCCTGTACTCCAGCATGGCGGATGTTCGCTCCGCCCCTCTGTTAAACGTCATCTTGTGACGTCGGTGAAAAAGCCCTATACTTCCCAATGTACTTTCAAACAAAGCACGAAAGAATCATGCAACTCGAGAAGAGAGTTGCGGATGACTGGGTGCGTATCGAATCCGCCTCGAATCGAGTTCAGGAAAATCCACCCTTAAAGTTCTCCTGACAAGCAAGCAAACACCAGCTTTTAATATGTGAATGCCAAAAGAAATCGGGAAGAGGATCGAGCATGGAATCCGACTCGGCACCGACTTTGGAGGAGGTGACCTCGGCTCGCATCGAGGATATTTCCATCACCGAGGAGACGATCGTGAATATAATAGGGAAGTTTAAGGTGGGGAAGGCGACCGGCCCCGATGGGATTCCCAAGGGAATACGAGAAGCGTTTAGAAGTGCTGGGACTGTACTCGCTCGAACGAAGGTTAAGGAAGGGCGATCTCATCCAGGCTTTCAAGATAATTAAAGGAATAGATAATGTCGAGTGTGGTAGGTGTTTCCAGTTTGATGGCAGCAAGAGAACGAGAGGTAACCAATTTAAGTTGCGCAAACCGCAGGTGCGGCTCAGGTTGAGACAGGAATTCTTTCTTGATCTTCCACTTGTAGATTTAAAAAGAAGTTCATATTTAGTACGTTTCCAGTAAAACATAGGTCACGGGCATGCTAGTGTATGGCCTAGACTCGCGAAAGTCTTGCACTGTGTATACCTGGATTTAATTTTGAAGTTGACCAGATTTTATTTGTAATTGTTCACATAAATACACACAAAAAATGTCATGTCACAGGAATCATGAGCAAGGAGAGAACTAAAATCATCGTCATGATAGCAAAACCTTCATGAACTATTCAGATTCATCATTTAGCATCATGTTGGTCTGGATCAAGACGTTTGCCCGAAATAATGAGTTAACATATTCATATTACTTTTCAATATCAATCCCGTATGGAATTCAGGTGCCATATGCATTTTCATAGTGAATCTAAGCCTATCTAGCGTCCATTGTCAATATGGTTCGTCTGTATGTTTATTCCATTGAGATACATAAACTTACAGAATATAAATACATTTCTCGTGTGAGAGAGTGAATGTTAGTGAGCGAGTGAGAGAGTTAAACTAACTGGAAATTAATTGCTTGGTGTTTTTCTTATATTCACCCTTTTTAGTGTCTATGTCTATTTTTTCCTTCCCACTAGATTATGCATATTTTCCTGTGCGGTTGTTGGTCGCATGGAAGTCTCCATTAGAGATTTCCCTTTGGGACTTCATGTACTTCCAGATCAGCCTACACATGGGAGACTTAAAGCTCATTGACATCGAATATTCCATAAACTTCAAGAACCATAAGTCAGAGCCCAAAAGGAGTTGATGAGCATTCGACTTCGGTAATGAACGAGGCATTGGAAGTTTTCTTCAAAAATGTGCACGGGTATGCTGGTGAAAGAGCATTGTCTCCTCGCTTTCAGGAAATAAATATTTCTTCAGCACGACTTGATTTTCATGAATCTCAATGCCATGAAAACAAGAAATGAGAAATTCATATGTGTGAAAATATTAAAAATGCATTCTTACAAATAAGTTTTTCTCCACTTCCTAAACCTTTGTAAGCCTTTGTAATCTAAGCCTTTGTAAGCTATGCCAATTTCAACACTAATTTGTATACCTTTCTGATGTGCTCTTTCCTGACAGAAACAGGGCTCTTGCTAGCATCTTTGCGAGATCTATTGCGGGAGAACTGGGATTTTCTGGTGGAACGCATACATGTGGACGAAGTGTCACTCCATTTGCTTCAATCAGGAATCCTTACGTTAGAAGATTATCAAGAAATCAGGGCACCAAAAGAAATGAGAGAGGGAGGAGTCCTGCTACTGATGAAATTATATGCTAGGATCAATCCAAAGACTTTTAAGGTCTTTCTCGGAGCATTGGAAGAATCTGGGCAAAATGAGATATCCGAATACCTCCGTTCAAGATGTGAGCTTGATATTTTTATTGTGACCCAGGTGACACATAACAGATGATGTTGAGTGTTTAATCTAACATCGTGCTTCAATCTTTCATCTATAGGGGAAACTACAAATGCTGACGGACTAACTTTTGAAAGTGCTTCAGACGAGTAAGTGACCAGCATTTTAGACCTAAATAAAAACTGAAGATTTAATGTATTTTGAATATCGCAAAGCTGTATTGCTTAAAAGCTGCCCACTTGGAAGAAACTCACTCAAGCATTCCACAGGGAAAAATATTATTAAGGAGTTGAATTCAAATTCTAGCATTGCATGCGAACGGTGTGTTATTTCATAGAATACCCTCGGAAGACGACATCTACGAGATAGCAGACAAGCTACCAAAGTTGTCAGATGCATGGCAAAACTTAGGACGAGACCTGGGACTTGACGAGAAAGTGCTTGGGAAAATCCTACAAATAAGTAAAACGCGACCGACGTGGACGACACACATTCTTCTGAAAGAGTGGAGAAGCTCTTCAACGACGGACCGACCGTCCACATTAAGGGTACTCTACTCTGCCCTAGAGAGGCAAGGTATTACATGCTCCTACCTACGGAAAATACCTGTGGAAAACCAATCTGACCACATCGTCCGAAAAGGCTTTGGTGAGTTCATGAAGGAAAAGGTGTACGATGTATAAAATAACATAATGTTTTAATTTCAGGATTTCTGAGCCATCAGCCCCTCAAATAATAAAAGAATGATACAAATTCTAAATATCTGAAACTTGTCGGAAGGTCTTTGTTATTATATGCGAAACATGCTACACAATTGAAAAAAAAACATAATTCGGAAATCCTGTCCTCCATTGAATATGACATTTCTTCTTCGAGACACGCAAACACAACACACAAGCCCTCAGGATACATTTACTTTGACGCATTTTCAGTTCGCGACTTTCCTTGCCTTGTCACAAATAAGAGCTTTAAAAAGTTTGCTCAATTATAGCTCTAAAACCATTCATGGTGATGCGCATGTCAATATGAAGTATGCTCTTCTTGTAGCTCAAAAAGGAAGTTTTCAAAACTCAAATTCAAGAAGCTTGACAAAGTTGTTTCAGGTTTTTGTTAACGAGTTTCAAAAGGAGGGATTTGATTAGGGTAGGCTTCATTATTCCCGATAAATAAGCCTCACTTTTATGATTGCTTCAGTTATCACGATATTGGAATAATAAACAAAAGCACTATTGAATAAGTCATATTTCAATAATAACATGGAAGATTGTGAGATACTGTAGATGCAAAAGTAATGCTTACATCCCATGAGATAACACAGGAGAACGCAATTTGTAAAAATAAGGTACTATTTCTTCAAAGTTTCTTGAGGTCACATTGCTTTTGTTCTATTAAAGAGACTTTAAAACACCTGCTATGAATACTCATTGCTGTGAAAATTGACCTACATAACCTAACCCAACCTAAACTAAGTCTAACCTAAATCTTCTTCCACCCCATGAAAAATTAAAACTAGTTTCAGGTTTCTTCCAAGACCATTATTTGTCATTTTGCAGCATAGTCTGTGGAATGTTTTTTTTCCCCTATACTGCACTGTACAGGGTGATCCAAATATAGCTTCTTAATTTTTAGGAGTCATAACTCATGTTGCGGGAAGGATGAAAGCCCAACAGATTGGCTTGCAAGAAGAAGCCTTCATCTCATTCCCATGGTCTTCTTTTTTGGGGTTGGGTCAATGTTCACCAAAGGAAACCCATACATCTTGACCAGTTGGACAATTTTATCATGGAAGTTACACAGAATGTTCTACAGCAGTTTCTCTAGCTCACTGTGGATAATGTCACTGTGCACCTAAAAAAAAACTGAAAAATGCTTATCTTGTATTAAAATTTAATCATGTATAAAATGGCATGAAATTACCTTTAAAATGCCTTTAGAATGATGCTTTAATTATTCCGACAACATGAGCTGTCTGTTTAAAATTAGGGAGTTATATTTGGATCACCCTGTTATCGGAGGGAGAGGATGGTTCACTCGAAAATAATAAAGCTGAAAATGCAATACTCTTTCATTGATGCCAGAAAGTCAAAATTTGATACACCTTTAGTACCAGGAGTGCCGCTTTCAGTGAAATCATACGATGATCGTAGAGCATCATTGGGACAGAACATTAGAATGACGTTTTCTCCAACATTGTTTCACTCTAGCGAGACACGCACGACTGAAGTGAAGGTAAAACTTTTCCAAAAGTAGTTTCTGGTGGATCAATTGAAAAAAAGTCACAGTTGTTTGATCCTCTCCAAGGCCACATCATTTCATGGACCTAAAGGGAGGATAACATTCTGTACATTATTCGTCTTTGGACATCGATAAAAAAAAATTCCTAGTTTCGTTACAGACATCCTGGAGAACATGGTTTGTGAGAGATTGTGGGCGACTCCAATATGATTTAACGTTAATGATTATCCTGAAGAGATCGCCAGCGTGTTCGAAGTTTATAATGATTCCGTTGACTTCTTAAATATACAATTACTTTATTGTGACAACCAGCTTGGAAAGTGGTCAGTGATAAGGAGAACCAAAAAATGAATATGGGAAAAAATTCAAAATTATGTACCCTTGAATATTTATTAGGCAATAGATACTCAACGAGCAATACCTGAATATGCACCAAAGTGGGCTGGGTGGGGAGACAGACAGCATACGATCTCCAACACTAACGACAGGGTCTACTCAATATCCCGCATCTTTTCTAAGGTTTCTCCTCGCCATTGTACAATTCGACTCACGACTCACTCTCTTGACACACTCCAACCGACTCTCCCGCACGACCCTTTTATTCCGTCATGTTGGACTTGCCCATGATCTCTTACCGTGATTTCATAATGATTATGAAAGCACCTACTACAACCCAAGTAACACAGCATGTTGATGAAACGTTTCCTAAATGTTGCCTATGTTGCTCAATGTTGCAAGTTTCTGTACAACATTGAGGAAACATTGCTTGAATGTTTTCACTTGGAATATTGCTGCGACACTTCTACGAATGTCATTGCAACATTAGCTATCAACATTGAGAGAATGTTGACACTCTTGACATCGACAACGTAGCGACAACATTCTGATACAACATGGACTTAGAAATTTTAGAGAATTGTAAAGTTGTCCTCCTTGCCACGAGATGGAGACGTAAGTCTCGCTTTCTCACAGTACACAAAAGTGCCCTTCTCCCTTTCCCTGGAATAGTCCCGCACAGGAATGTTTAGTACATTGCCATATGTCTCACGATCTCTCATTATAGGACTCAATGAACACGGACACTTCATCACCTGTTATCTTCATTTTCCAGACAGATTAATGGGGTCAAGATAAAAAAAGCTCATATTCCTAAAAAGAATCCTTTCCAACAACTCCTCGAGTTCATCCTACAGGACAATGAAAACGATGGTAGAGAGAGTCTGGGATCTCAATGCTTCATATCCTCATTCTAGGTACCTGCTGAGGAAACGAAGGATTGATCTCGAGGACACTCCATAGAACATTGCTGTCGGACCTTTTCCTGTATTGTGCAATTTAGCACATCCAGGGGAAGATCACCTCCAAAAATGTACTATGTCTCCTCCCTGTACATGATACAAATACTGTATTATGCATGGGTAGAGGGTAAAATCAGTACAGGCTTCGTCCTGTTGATGAGAATATCTGAGTATAGAGGTAAAGTATATGGTACGAAAGGATGAAATTAATAATTCAACATTGGTCAAATATCGGTCCAGTTCAGGACCAGTGAAGCCTACGCTTTTCAGTAATGCCAATATAGGCCCAGATTAGGTGCCCGTGAAGCAATGTTTTTAATCAACATTGCAGCAACATAAATCCTGAAACGTATCTGCAACGTATATGTAATGAATGAGTAGCGATTTGCAACGTAATTGCAATGTTCCTTCGCAACATTTGAGCAACGTTGACGTTTTGGACATTTACACATAGATGCAACATTGTTCATCAACATTTCCTAAACGTTGCTGGAATATCTTGTGTTACTTGGGAATATGACCGTGATATTTCATAGGTTAAGAATATCTTTACGTTTTATCTGCGTTACTAAAGATTTTGTACACGGGAATCCTTTCGGTTCGGGGGACATTCGGACTAACAAATTTCCCCTTGCCTCCCCCCTTCAAGGAAGATGCAAATATATACCGCAATTTTCGGCGCCGGCTATCGCGACTTCCTCATGCTATGCACATGTTGCATCTCAGGAAGAAACCTTCGATTTCATGTCCATGTAGCTTCAGGAATGATGAATATAAAAAAAAACATTTTCAGCAATCTTCTTCTGGGATGATCTTCTGTGAGAAGCAAAGTCACTCAGTGCAGCCCTTCTTCCGTACACAGATGAATTCAAATTGATCCAGTCTTTTCCAAATTTGGCTTTCACCTTCTCTCTGGCCTAGCTTTTTTGGTGGTTGAAGACATATTAGACAATGTATTACAAATAATCTTCTAATGCTCCACATCGGATGGCATGTGATGTAAGAACGTAGATTTTCGGAAATCCAATGAAATTGTCATATGTGTTTTCGAAGTTAATCAGGGAATCATAGACGAACGGTAAATGATTACAGGATGATTCAAAAGTTGCTTACATTTTTTGTGCCAAATATCAATCGATTTGTCTACTTCTCCTAAGCAGTTTGGTACAATATTAATATGGGGCGAAAGATTTTTCGGAAGAAACGACCGCAAAAGAGTCTTAATTAGCGTACCATTTCTTGACTCTTGCGTCACTCCATACCAAATCGTCCAGAGGATAATGTCAACTACCTTCAATTTAAAAATAAAATCGATATGCATATAAAATAATTTCTTAGAGGAAAGTATATATTATATTTTTTTCATCTCGCTCCTATCCGAAAACAAGAACGTACACGTAATCAAACAGTTTGATTAAGTGGAAGTTCTTGTTTTAGCTTTGGAGGATAATGTCTTAGAATAATCTAAAGGCGTCGGTTTGACGATTAAAATAACACCATGACAAAACTTTCATCTCAAATAGAAGAAATGTTATTGAAAAAACAGCCTCACAACTCCAGTCCATATAATGTAGGCGCCAGGAGCCAAAAATATGAGACACTCTAATGCATATATCTCGAGATCGGAGCAAGATGAAAACAAAAACCTCTAGAATTTGTTTTCTTAGAATCAATTCCTCTACATGCGTATCGATTGTAGTCAAAATCGAAGTTGAACTCATCCTGTAATCGATTTGGTGTGAAGTGACACAAGAGTCAAGAAATGTTACGCTAATTATGACACGTTTTCGGTCGTTTCTTCCGAAGTATCTTTCGCCTCATATTAATATTGTACCAAACCGCTTAGGAGAAGCAGACAAATCGATTCCATATACTGCAAAAAAATGTAAGCGACTTTTGAATCACCCTGTATACAATATAGCATATCTGAAGTTAGTGGTGCAATAATATCACTGCAGGTAACACGACGTGAAAATGACAACGGCCTAGAATACATAATGATTTAGTACATTAAGAAGAGTTTGAGGACCGAAGCAGTAGATTTAAGATAAATTAATCGAATTACATACAACGCCATGTGACATATTGCAATTTTGTTCGCCCAAGTGGAAATGAAACTCGCGAGAATGCTCATATTCATCTCCCTTAACGGGAGACTGAAATTCAGAATTCATATTGCTAATTCATTTACATGTTGAGGCAGCATTTTTATTATTTCCTGTTTCCCTTGCCGTGGTGAAATTTGCCCATGCACGCTCTCCCCAAGTAGCAATTGGTCCAAAATAAATCCATTGGACATACCCTCATGGACACATGGAAATGTCCCCCTCGGACATTCACTGGATGACTAAAAGTATCGTCCAAGGATAATCCTTGGACGTGTCCATTGTGGATTGCCTATCAGATATCTGCCTCTTAGGATCCATTGGAGATTCCCTTTGGGAAAGCTTTTAGATGACTATTGACAGGTGCAGCGATAGCAACCTCCAGGTATCAATGGAGCAAAATTTGCATGTTCATAAATGTTCATGGAGTGTGAAATGTATATTTATTGCATATTGATGACCTCGCCCTCTCACGATCCTTGGAAGAACTAGAAGAGAAGCGTTTGGATGGAAAGTGTAGTATTATTGAGACGATACTTTCGACTTCCCATCCTTATCTCTAATTCATGACATTGGTTCTTCCATCGTCAATTGCAACGGGATTTGTAGGAAAGGAACAGACTTATTTCACAAGGGAAGCCACACTCTCACTATGCAATGTGCAAGAATTCCTTTGAGTCTCCTTGAGCTACGCCTCTCTATAAATGAATTAATTATAATGATTTCCTTCCCTAGGCTTGTACGTGGGAAATTATCGAGGAGAGGATGAAAGCTTGCGCAGAAGAATTTGCTACGATTTTGGGAACCGGGAGACATACAGCAGCGGGATGACCGCGACCTCGCTTATACCTCGTATTATGAGAACTTAATATTCCTTGAATGAACTGCCAGGTGTCAGGTCAGATGGAAAGCCTCAACGGGCTGAGGACTCCGTCCAAGGACATCCAATGGAAGACCATAAGAAGTTGTCATTGGAGGTTCCATTGCTGGACGTCCAATGGATGCCCAAAACAGGATCTCTGGACAACTGGACTGTCCATGGACGAGTTTAGGATCACGCATGGCTACTTGGGTCCTTACACTTTTCTTTCTGAGATTGGAACAAATTAGGTTGTACTCGTCAATAGATAGGCGGGAAAATATTTCCTGAGGGTGAAATAAATACCGTGTAATATTAAGAAACTATGATCCTGTGGAATATTTTGTTTCATGGTATTTTAAGCTTGGGCGCATTTAAGCGTTCTTAGGCTATCCTGAAAATGCTCCAAGTAGCGCTGTGTGGCGCCATGATAATGGTGTTTCCTTAAAAGCACATCATGAATGTTGTGCTGGATTTATTATTGATTCATTTTTCTCAATCAACAGTGGAAGTCATCCCCGGAAGTTCTAAGGAGATTGATGACTTAGTGAAACATGAGAACGTGAATGCCACGCAGTAAGTCTCATGGCCTTTAGCATATTTTTCATTACATTATTTCATTCATTTGTTACTGTCACTGAACATTTTAAACAATTGGATCTATTTTGCTGGTCTTGTTGGCACCGATGGTGCAACACCTCCGGCCGATCCTGATGTTAACCGATACGTCGGTGTAGCTGGGAATGAAACTAATGTGAAGATTTAAGTGAATGTCAGCCGAGATCTCCTGAAATGAATTATTTCTAACAGGGGTCCGAACTATTAATAATTTGAAACTCGCATAATGTTCCCTGGTGGTATCTTTTAAAATTGTCCAGGGAGCTTTTGATGGAAATACGCGAAAAGAAGGATGAGCAGGAGGACCTGGGGATTACATTCGGAGAAGGAGAAAATGTTGATCAGAGTATCCAAGAAAGCAGAAAACGCCCCATTTCAAAGACTCAACTTCAAACTGAGGTAATTCTTCTCAGCATTAGCATTTTGTGGCAGGAAATTCTTTGAGATGAGGGCATAGCAAAGCTCCTGCTCCATGTGACAATGACACTCCATTCTATTAATTATGTATTCTTCCTACACAAATACTGGGTGAGGCAAAATAGCGCCGCTCTTTGAGATTCTTTAGAGTTCATGAGCTTGCTGATACCAGGGCAATCATTAATACGCATCGAATTCTACGCATTCTTTAAATGTCCTATAATTATCCTATTTTTCACCAGCCGTTTTTGCACAAGAGAGGCGTTCCAACTCAAGTGGTCAAATTTCAGTCAAATTCGTTGGGCTTAATACTCCGATTTGCTTGAAAAAATTATTGCAAGCTAGCAATCAAGACTTATGAAAAAATCCAAAAATTTGGGCTCTCTAGTTCTAAGGGATATCGAGATATGCGGCCCAAAACTTCGCCCGATAGAGGAAAAGTGCCTTTAGGTTTAAAACAATATCTTTGGTCCTGTAGGCGGCTCCGACGTGATTTAACGTTAATGACTATCACGAAGAGATCGCCAGCGTGTTCGAGGTTTAAAATGACTACGTTGACTCCTTCAATATACAATTACTTTATTGTGACAACCGGCTTGGAAAGAGGTCAATAATAATGAGAACCAGGAAATGGATATGGGGCAAAAATTCAAAATTATGTTCCCCTAAACGCTTATTAGGCCATAGATACTCAATGANAGAGGTCAATAATAATGAGAACCAGGAAATGGATATGGGGCAAAAATTCAAAATTATGTTCCCCTAAACGCTTATTAGGCCATAGATACTCAATGAGCAATACCTGAATATAAACCCGTGTGGTATCGGTGGGGTAACCGACAGCATTCAATCTCCAGCACTGACGTCTAGGGTCCACTCAATATCCCGCGTCTTCTCTCAGGTTTCTCCTCACTATTCTACAATTCAACTCCCTTGCCGGACTCACTCACTTGATATTCCCGACTCCCCTCGACTCGACTCGCGCGGCCCTTTTATTCCGTTATGCCGGACATGCACATTTTGTCTTACTGTTATTTTATCATCTTGATAAAAGTACCTCCTACAGTCCTATTCGAGCTAGAGATGCCTTTATGGACGCTGAGACCACGTAGAATTGCATCATTAAATGCATTTTCTACATCGTTTATTAGATATCAAGTTATGCAATTTCCAAAATGGTAAATATTGCAGAATTTTGCACGCAAATTATTAGCATTAAGATGCATTGTAACACCACGAACTTTCGCAACATTATAGACTACCGCAATGGCAATTTAAGAACTGAATTTCAACTTTCTACGCTTTTTGAAACAACTTAAAATTAAATTCGAAAAGTCCAAAATTGCTTATTTTCACCAAATTTGGCGGTTCGTACTTCCTGTTTTAAACATTATATAAACTTGTAATTAGTGTCAAATGAAAGTTCTCTCCAACGCTTTCTATTGATAAATTACTCGTGTTGCTACTTTTACTTTTCATGCCTGTGTATTTTTTTGAAAATTTGAATTCCGCAAATTCCCGAACGAAAGGTATGACTGAAATTAAAGCGATGGGAATCTTGGTTAAGAAACCAGACCAATGCATATCTCACATTTGACTCATAACCATCGCTACTTACATGATATGCTTGCATTAAGCAATAAAATATCAATATTCAATACATTAATGGATTTCCAAACGAAACACTTTAGTCGTTATCTTTGAAGCGTGCATGCATGTACATTTCAGAAGATTCTAACTTCAGAATGGAACTTTGTTCTTCAGAGTGTAATGTGTCTTTTGCATATGTTAAGTGGCAGTGTTCATGCCAATGATGAATCTAAATAAAAGGTCTTTCAACTTATGAACAACGACATTTGACATACGAGGGCCGGTCTGATAGCCTTTTTAATTTCGCACTCGCACACATACGCGTGATGGAACCCAGGTTTTGGCAATGCAGCATCTCAGCAACCCCCCCCCCCCCCCAATGTCAANGGCCCCCCCCCCCCCCCCCCCCCCCCCCCCCCCCCCCCCCCAATGTCAATGCTCATTTTCCAACCCTGTGGGAGTTTCGCGATTTGGCTGGTGGCAATTTCCAAAACACTGTTTTAAGATGTCTTAGTGCAATGGCACTTCAGCACCAGAGAAGTTCTACAGGAAGACGTTCAGTGTGCGTGCAGAACAAAACCAAACCAAACCAAACGCTTCTCTAGCTCGAATAGGACCAAAGGTAGAGTTTTAAACCTAAAGGCCACTTTTCCTCTATCGGGCGAAGTTTGGGGCCGCATATCTCGATATCCGTTAGAACTAGAGGGCCAACATTTTTGGATTTTTTCATAAGTCTTGATTGCCAGCGTGTAATAATTTTTTCAAGCAAATCGGAGTCTGATGCGCAACCACCCCTTGATCACTTGAGCTCGAATGCCTCAAGAGCGAAAATACGAAGGCAACTCGAAATTTATTCTTGCGCGAAGAGAAGTATTGGCATAAAATGAATATTTGGTACTAATCTCAGGCAAGAGCTCCTACGTCTGCCCATAAAAAATGCTGCTCCTTGCGAAAGGATAATGCGGAGTAAAACTTCGCAATAATTTCCTGGTTAAGGATGAAATGTAGGCCTATCGTGAAGAAATCGATTCACGAGCTACGATAAATCTATTCATCTGAGAGGAAAAGAAGAAGCGGAAGACTCACCAGAACTGAAGATAACTACTCATGCAGGAAAAGAAAAAACATTTCGCTGAACGAATTCTGGGATATAACTTTCATATCGGCAAAATGGGTGATTCCATGGAATATCAACCAATGGGTAACACCCAATCTCCTCCGATTTTGATTAAAGTTGCCATACAAGCTGATTATGCCACGAAACCAGAAAATACCATATTTCAGTCTCATGAGGTCAGTAGGTCTAATATTACAGAGTGGTCACTAGCAAATCTTACATAAAAGTTTCAATTGCTAACAGATTGCTAAATAGAGAACATTCATTCAGCTTTCCAATGATGCCAACAGAATATATATTTGTGGCATGGGTTTCATGTAGTGAGACAAAGATTATTGGGGGTGGCGATGGAAAAATTGGGACCTTGCCGCGATGGCAGTTTGCATGAAAGAGGTCGCCTAAGCATAAGCGAAGGAATGGACGTCACATGGAGCGCATCTTGTAGAGTACTGTTGAGTAAACTATTCAAGTGCAACCTCTGCTACACGGTGCGTAACTACATCGGAATGACGGATGTATTTTACTTTTTTCATTTTATCATTCAGTGGAAAGTTAGATGAATGTTCCATATAGAGACACTATTGCAATATTTTCAAACTCTCGAGAAACTATGCCGTGAAGCGTTAAAGATAACGATTTATTTGGCATCTGTATATGACTTAGCATCTTGAAATCATAAACGATGATTGCTGGATGGAAAGTACAAATATTTTCGAATGACAAAATAAAGACGGAATTAAATCCTACACAGACGAAGGAACTCTGTATTTACCATTGCAAAATAATGAAGAAAATCTGAAACCTGTCAAGTGAAGCCTCCCTATAAGATCTTTCCAATAGAAGATACCTTGTCTGAGGCGAGAAGGCGAGAAAACTCGTATATGAAATATTTCATTTTCGTCTCCTGATGCTTTGAAAAAGCAAGGGAAGTGAAACGAGGTCGGTCCAGGCCCTGCTCGACAGACATCCTCATTAAAGTGGGGGGCGGGGCTTAGTCATCACACCGTTGAGACGTCATCGCAGGAAGGGCTTTCTCGATAGATTGGACGCGGTGGCGTCATCCTCTTGACGCTATGCTAGGAATATCTTCATTTTTTTAGCATGCCATTGCTCTCGCTTTCTTGCGGTTCTTGCAGCATTCTCCCTATTCAAATTCTTCATCCTGATG